AATAGGAAATCAGGTTTAGCTATATATAGACGAACCTAGACAGCTCTTTCTCATACTGAATAGACTTAAATTTGGATTAACGGAAGGCCGAGCCTAAGGCTGTAGCTGTAGTTTGAACAGGAAAGCATGGCCCTAAGTTAGAACTAATGGCCTAGTAAGGAAATCCTTCTAAAACCTAACCTACTAAGGAAACGTCTTTCCAGTCAGCTTCACTGCACCTTAARCTCGTAGCAAACCGATCGTATTTTCAAAGTTAACACACCAGTTTCGAGTTCCAAATTACGCAGTSTTCCTTGATTACAGACTCATTTACACAGGGTTAGCCTCGTATCAGTACTATCTAAATATTCACAAATACCAACGGTAATGTAAAGAATGCACAAATTCAACAATACAAACACTTTGAAACTCGACGGACCTTCACTTGAATACGTTAATATTCTACACAAAATCGAGGCTAACCCTGTGTAAATGAGTCTGTAATCAAGGAACACAGCGGTAATTTGGAATTCGAAACGGGTCTACTAGTCTCCTAAATGACAAGTCGAATAAAGAGTGGTACTCCAGGCGATCCCGGAGCTATTTCAACCAGTTYTAAAAAATACTGCGTTCACTGCAGTCTGACTAGGGGAAATCTATCGACTTGTCAAAATCTCTCATGTGCGACAACCAAAACATTCTCGTGACGAGTAATACTGGTGCAAACCAATTAGAGAGCGCATGTAAAAATGTATATTATAAATGTATAAATATATAATTGTGCAACTCGGCTCGGGGTCAGATCACGAAATCCTGCAATAATTAGCAGACCGTCTCAACGAGAGTTAAATTCAGTCTGTACGCATGCTACCATAACCCCAACTCTAACCCTAACAATAACAATAACCATAACCATAACTATGTTATAATTAATTTCCAGGAAATCTTGCCCTTCAGCAGCCATCCGAGTTATCATCTGTTTACTTGAACACAAGATTCCCTATATATGCCGTTGATGGCTCTCCTAACGGCGGACCTTCTGCAACTCTTTGCGCTAACTCTGCCCAAGATAATCCATACTGGATTGTTGATTTGGGAAAAACTTTTATCATTGACGAAGTGTTCATTATTGGACGATCTGACTGTTGCTTTACAAGAATGTTTGGCAGTGAAATTAGAGT